AACTTAAAATACCTGTGGCCACCCACTTTGAGTGAAATTTTAATTTTTTTATATGCAAAAAAAAATAAAAATAAGCAAAAAAGTAAAAATTTCAAAACTTTACAGAATGGCTTAAAATACCTGTGGCCACCCACTTTGAGCGAAATTTTATTTTTTTAGGTGCCGAAAAAATTTAAAAAAAAAAAAAAAAAAAAAATTTCAAAACTTCACAAAATGGCTTAGAATACTGTGCCATCCACTTTAAAAATTTAAATTTTTTAGTTGCCGAAAAAAATAAAAAAATAAAAAATAAAAAACTTCACATAATTGCTTAGAATACATGTGGCCACCCACTTTGAGTGAAATTTAATTTTTTTTAGGTGTCGAAAAAAAATAAAAATAAGCAAAAAAGAAAAATTTTCAAAACTTCACAGAGTAGCTTAGGATACATGTGGCCATTCACTTTGAGTAAAATTTAATTTTCTTTAGGAACCAAGAAAAAAAAAATACCATTTGGGCATGTAAAAAAAATTAAATTTTACTCAAAGTGGGTGGCTAGAGGTATTGTAAGTCATTCTGTGAAGTTTTGAAATTTTTGATTTTTTATGTTTTTTTTCACCTAAAAAAATTTAAATTTCACTCAAAGTGGATGCCACATGTATTCTAAGTCATCCTGTGAAGTTTTGAAATTTTTGATTTTTTGCTTTTTTTTCACCTCCAAAAATTAAAATTTCACTCAAAGTGGGTGGCCACAGGTATTCTAAGCCATTCTGTAAAGTTTTGAAATTTTTGAGTTTTTGAATTTTTTTGGGCACCTTAAAAAATTTAAATTTCACTCAAAGTGGGTGGCCACATATATTCTAAACTATTCTGTGAAGTTTTGAAATTTTTGATTTTTTTATTTTTTTCGGGCACCTAAAAAAATTTAAATTTCACTAAAAGTGGGTGGCCACAGGTATTCTAAGCAATTCTGTGAAGTTTTGAAATTTTTGATTTCTTGATTTTTTTTGAAAAAATTCAAGAAATTTCCTATTTTCCCGAAATCTAAATTTTTTTATTTTTTCGACATTTTAATGATTTTTTCTGGAATTTTTCAATTTTTTGGGATTTTCTGAATTTTTTTAAAGATTTTTATGAATTTTTCGGATTTTTTATTATTTTTATTCCATTTCTAAAAAAATGGATTTTTGTTCCTGAAAATAGAATTTTCTGTTGTTTATCAAACGGGTTTTTATTTCAGGAAATAAAAATTTTGTGCTGTTATCAAACGGGTTTCTGTTCTAGAAATAGAAATTTTTTTTCATTATCAAACGGGTTTTTTTTCTCAGAAACTCATCCAGGAACCAGAAATAGAAAAATCTATTTCTGGTTCAGGAACTCATTCCGGAACAGAATGGTTATCATTCGCTACCTTGCGGTGGTGCGAGTTGTAGTTCAATTATTAGATTAGTGTATTTACTTGGAAATTCATCCCAGTAAATTCTGTTTATGCTCTGCCATTGGGGTAATAACACTATAAGTACCCGAATTTTTGTCCATTGAGGTAATATTATTTAACCATAATATGTACATGCTGGGGATTGTGGAAAAATATACCAAAGGGAGAAAGTTTTCTAGGATATTGGTCCGAGATTATACAATAGAAAATCTATTTGCATCAATACTAATTTACTATTGTTAACGAAAACTCTTATCCGAACCAAAAACAATTGGAGAGTGATCGAGATTGCTCCATGGTTCACGCTCGACCACAAAATGCACCGACAGGGGCGGGATGGAATGTTGAATTTACGTGAATCCAAGAGCGAGGAAATTTATTGATAACTCAAAATGGTCAAATGAATATAAGAAACCCTAACTAACATGGCCCTGTTGTGGTCAACATAGTCGACAACGACTACTACAGTAGCTTCGGTCTAAGTTTCGACAGCCTTAACATAGAGAGAGACAGAGAAATCACACGACTAAATTTAAGAGGTGCACCGAACAAGGCAGCACAACTCCTGCTGTAGGGCACTAAGAAGAATAGACAAAGCCGTTCTCCGACTTTTCCTTTGCATATTTAATTTATGCATCATATCCTACCTTAATGCCTGAATAAATTATTTGAGTTTTTATCCGGATCTATTCAGAGGAGAAATTATCAAAAAAGTTATAAACTTATTACACATTTGTCAGTGGCTGGGCGAGGCGGGGAGGCTCGACCTCGCCAGATCTAGAGAGTTCGAGCCTCCCGCAGTTAGTCGACAAGGAAGAGTTGTGCGAGCTGTTGGCAAAATCTTGCACTACAAAAAAACAAGGATTTAGCCACAGAAATTTGCGACGGAATTTGCGACGAATTTTTTTTCCGTAGCAAATTAGGCACGAAAAATTATTCGTCGCAAATTAGCGACGAAAAAAGAATTCGTCGCAAATTAGCGACGAAAAAAGAATTCGTCACAAATTTCCGACGAATTTTGCGACAAAAAAAAATCCATGGCTAATTTGCAACGGAATTTGCCACGAAAAAAAATTCGTGGCTAATTTGCGACGGAATTTGCCACGAAAATAAATTCGTGGCAAATTTGCGACGAAATTAGCGACGAATTTTTTTCCGTTTCTAATTTGCGACAAAAAAAAATGTCGTCGCTAATTTGCGACGGAATTTGCCACGAAAAAAAATTCGTGGCGAATTTGCGACGGAATTAATGACGAATTTTTTTTCCGTTGTTAATTTGCAACGAAAAAAAATTTCGTCGCTAATTTGTGAAGGGATTTGCCACGAAAAAAATCCGTCGCTAATTTGCAACGGAATTGGAGACGAAAAAAAATTCGTAGCTAATTTGCGAGGGAGTTAGCAACGGATTTTTTTTCGTCGCTAATTGTCCGTGCTACTTGTAGACCCAATTTCTCTCTCTCCCTGCTAATTCCTCTTATCCCTCTTCGCTGTTCTCCCTTCCTCTCCCTCTTTCATTTCTCTCGATAAATCTCTCCGCATGCGCAAAAATCTGTCTCGGTAAACCTTTTCTACCGGTAAGTGGCGTGACTAATTTGCGACGAAGACGGTTCGTTGCAAAACTATTGTCGAATTTTTGTTATTTTATTAAGTTTTGTTTCTTCTCTTTTTTTTTTTTTGACTTCGTCGCCGGTCACCAGTCCGGCAACCGGCGACCGGCGACCGGTGAGACCTCGCCGGCCATGGGCGGGGCTGCTGGACCTCGCCTAGATCTGGGCGAGGCCGCTCGGCCTCGCCATGGCCGCTGCTCGACCTCGCCGCAGAGGTCCAACATGGCCGCCGCTGGCCTCACCGCGAGGTCCAACGGCGGCCATGGCGAGGCCCAAGCTCGACCTCGCCGCCCAGATTTGGCCGGCGAAGTGACCTCGCCCATGGTCGGCGAGGTCCAACTCGCCGGCCTCAGCAGGTCGCCGGACCGGCGACCGGAGAAAAATATGTAGGAAAAAAGAATTCGGGAAAAAAAAATTCGAAAAAAAAATTTATTTAAAAAAAATTTCGGGAAAAAAAATTATTATAAAAAAATAAAATCTGAAGTCAATTTTTTTTTGGTAGGTACTTATCCGTTTGAAAGTCTCGCAGATGAAGTGAACGTTGCAATTCTCATCAAATTGAGGACTTTCTACTACAAAGATTTCAATCAAATACTTGGGTAAGTCTTCTTGACATGGTAATTGTTTTATTTTTTTCAATTTCAAAGTAATTGTTTCGGCAAAAACAAAATTTTAATTTTTAGAATTTTATGGTTTTAATTAAGAAAATTTTTTGGTTTTAATATTTTACGAGATTTTGGTATAATAAGAACTTACCTGGGGATTGACCGATGAGTTTCGTACTGGGTTGGAACTATTTTTGGACTTTGCTAGTAGTAAATATGAGTTGATGGATGGAAATAAGTAAAGGTGTCCGTGTAGAAAGTGCAGTAATGGTAAATTTCATGTGTGTGATACAGTTAGAGAACATCTTTGTAGATTTGGGTTTACTCCGAACTACTATAATTGGACTTGTCATGGTGAACCATTTATATCTGATGAAGGTTTGCGAATAAGTGGTCAATTTTCAGTTAGGAAAGAATGTAGCTATTATGATCAATTAAACCCATACCAGAGGATGGTGATTGATGCAGCTGGTCAGAATGTTGTTTCAGATCCGAACCATGCAAGTACAAGTACTAGTTTTACTCCTACACTTGAACAATTGGAAGAGATAGGAGTAACGGGTTTTGATGAGAATGTGTGTAATGAAACGTTTCCATCTAATCAGTTCTGGGAAGTGTTGAAAGCAGCAGATGAACCTTTATGGGCAGGTTGTGACAACCATACTCAGTTATCAGTGACAGCAAGATTGTTAAATATCAAGGCAAAGCATAATGTGTCTGAAAATTGTTTTAACTCTTTTGTTGAAGTAATGCGAGAAACAATGCCTCGTGATAACATCATGCCAAGTGATTTTTACGATATGAAGAAGTTAGTGGATAACTTAGGTCTTCCAGTTGAAATGATTGATATATGTAGTAGGGGTTGTATGTTATATTGGAGAGATGATGAAAATGCAGAATCTTGCAAATTCTGTAGCCAACTTAGGTACAAGATAAACAGGAGGCATGGTCGTAATCAGAAGCGTAGACCATGCAAGCAAATGTTTTATCTACCCTTAATCCCCAGATTGCAAAGGCTTTATGCGTCTCAAGCCACTGCTGAACACATGACTTGGCATGCAAATCATGAAACAGAAGAGGGTCTAATGTGTCATCCTTTAGATGCAGAGGCATGAAAACATTTTGATAGAACATACCCTGAGTTTGCGATAGAGCCTCGAAACATCATGTTAGGTCTCTGTGATGATGGATTTGCCCCATTTGGAAAATCAGGGAAAAGTTATTCATGTTGGCAAGTTATCTTAACTCCGTACAATCTTCCACCCGGTATGTGCATGAAGACACCTTATATGTTTTTGACATTGATCGTGACCGGCCCGCAAAATCCGAAAAAGTTGATAGATGTTTATATGCAACCATTGATTGAAGAGTTACAACGGCTATGGAACGAAGGTTCGTTACGTATGATGTTTCTACTAATCAAATATTTGTAATGAAGGCTGCTCTTCTTTGGACGATAAATGACTATCCAGCATATGGAATGTTATCTGGATGGAGTATAGCTGGGATCTTAGGATGCTCGATATGTTTGCAGAGATCGAAGTCATTCAGATTAAGACATGGTAAGAAGCCCTGCTATTTTGACTGTCACAGACAATTTTTGCCGATGAATCATACATTCAGAAGGAATAAAAAAGAGTTCATCAAGAATAGGATTGAAAGAACTCCTCCACCATTGAGGTTGACCGGTGATCAAATATGGGAGCAAGTGCATGACTTTCCAACTGTTGTTGAAAACCCTCCTGGCACAACTATTGCGTACGGAAGTGTACATAAGTGGACTAAACGCAGTATATTTTGGGATCTACCATATTGGAAGGCACATCTTATTCATCATAATCTTGACGTCATGCACATTGAAAAGAATGTTTTCGACAATGTCATAAATACTGTGATGGATGTCACGGGAAAAATAAAAGACAACTTGAATGTAAGAAAAGATATGAGAAATATTTGTGATCGGCCAACATTAGATGTGGATGCAAGCAGCAGGGGACCAAAACCAAAAGCAGTTTATACATTGGATAAGGAGCATAGACGAGTCGTTTGTCAATGGTTGAAATCTGTGCGGTTTCCTGATGGATATGCTTCGAACATCGGGAGATGTGTTGATTTGAACGAATGCAAGTTGACAGGATTAAAGAGTCATGATTGTCACATATTTATGAAAAGACTAATTCCAATAGCTTTGAAGGAACTTCTACCAAACTTTGTATGGGGCGCCATTACAGAGTTAAGTAATTTCCTTCATGATATTTGCTCAACAGTGTTAAAAGCATCACACATGGAGAAACTGGAGAGAGACATTCCAATTATTCTTTGCAATTTAGAAAGGATATTTCCTCCATCGTTTTTTTATTCAATGGAGCATCTCTTAGTTCACTTGCCTTATGAGGCCAAAGTTGCAGGTTCCGTCCAATTTCGATGGATGTATCCATTTGAGAGGTAAAAAAATTTTCAAAATAAATTTCAAAATACTTTATTATATATTATGTTATGATAAACTTCTTTCTATTGCAACAAGGTTCTTATATCATTTGAAGAAAAAAGTGAAGAATAAGGCATGTGTTGAAGCTTCAATTTGTAATGCATATATTGTGGAAGAAGTGACAATATTTGCATCATACTATTTTGAGCCGCACGTGCAGTGCAAGAGGCGGAGAGCAGGAAGAAATGATAAAGGTCCCATCGATCCCAATTGCAAATCATTCTCTATTTTCAATTATCTTGATCGACCAAGCGGCGCATGTCAGTTTCGTTGCTTAACAGGCGAAGAACGGCAGGCAGGCCATACCTATATTTTACTGAACTGTCCAGAAGTGGAGCCATACTTCCAGTAAGTGTATATTTGAAAATATATGTATTGCGTGTCAAATATTTACTAATATATAAATGTAAATGTTAATAGGATTTTTCAAAATTCAATGTATGGACTACTGCTAAATGAGTTCGACCGTTTGTGCGATGAATAATTTGCAGCATGGTTCAAAACATATGTAAGTTGCCTATAGACCAAAACCAAGTTATTAATATTTTATACATCATTTAAATATATATTATTGACTTTGCGTGTGTAATCTTAGGTTCACAGTAATCATGATCAAGTTGAAGAGCAAGGATTGCTATATTATTTGTCATGGGGTCCACAGTCAAGCATACGAACTTGGCCAGCCTATTTCATAAACGGGTATAATTTTCACACTCAAGAATATGAAATGGGAAAAGCCACAATGAATAGTGGTGTGTGTGTTCGGTCATCCAATTGTGGTAGTTCAAAAGATGATTTTTATGGCTTGTTGGATGAAATCATTGAGATAGAGTACCCCGGACCATTAATGCGGGTTGTGTTATTTAAGTGCATGTGGTTCGACACCGTCAAAGGAATAAAGGTGCATACGAAGTTTAATTTGGTTGAAATAAATTACAAGAAAATGTATAAGAAATATGAACCATTTGTGTTGGCACAACAAGCAATTCAAGTATATTATGCATCATATCCTAGTTTGAAACGTGACAAAGCTGATTGGTGGGCTGTATGTAAAACCAAAGCACGAAGAAAAATCGAGGAACACCGGAAGGATACAAAGATATCAACAAGAGGAAGTTTGTAACGCGTTCAAACCGAGGAATATAACATTCCTACTTTACGAGATCCATGTGGAGCAATGATAGATGTAGATCTAACTGAAATTCGCGAATCAAATTTAGAAGGTGTTGCATAATCTGATTTTGAGACAGAGGATGATGAGGATGATGAGGATGATGATGATGACGACGATGATGACGACGATGACGATGATGCTCAAGAAGAAGATCAAGATCAAGATCAAGATCAAGATTTAGATTTTTGAGACTTTTTACTAATTATGTTGTAATTATTATTATTATTATTATTATTATTATGACAAAAGTTTATTGTTGTTGTCGTAATTATTAGTATTGTTGTTGTTGTTGTTGTTATTATTGTAATTGTTGTTGAATATTATTATTGCTATTATTGTTAATGAAACGTTATTGTCTGGAAAAAAAAATGAATTACGCGGGTGTGGGATAGTAGAAATGAAATTCGTGGCAAAAATCCGTGGCAAATTTGCCACGGATTTTTGCCACGAATTTCTTGAAAAAAATCCCACAAACATGAATAATTTTGGGCTTTTTACGAAATTCGTGGCTAAAATCCGTGGCAAATTGCCACGGATTTTAGCCACGAATTTCGTAAAAAAAATCCACAAACATGAATAATTTTCGGCTTTTTTACGAAATTCGTGGCAAATTTGCCACGGATTTTAGCCACGAATTTCGTAAAAAAAATCCCACAAAAATCCCACGAATTTTTGTCGCTTTCTTCGGCGGCGGACGCTGGGAAGCGAGGACACCCAGCGCGCGGTCTGCTTCTGTTGGGTTCTTCGGCGGCGTCCGGGAGTGTTCGGTCTGCTTCTGTTGGGAAGCGAGAGGTACGTTTGCTTGGGTTTGCTTTTCGGCGTTATTTCTAGGCGATTGCGTCTGCTTATGCTTCTGTTCTGATATTTGTGTTGGGTCTACGATTGGGTCTGCTTCTGCTTATGCTTCTGTGCTTCTGCTTCTGTGTTGACTGGCTTCTGTGTTGGGTCTGCTTCTGCTTCGTTCTGTTCGTGGGCGAAACAGTTATGTTTCGTGGGCGCTTCGTGCTTCGCTTCGTGTTGGGTCCGCTTCGCTTCGTGTTGGGTCCGCTCGCTTCGTTCGTTCGTGGGTGAAACAGACTTTGTTTCGCCCACGAATTTGATTCTGTCGTGGGCGAAACAGACCCAACTGTTTCGCCCACGAAACGTAATCAAATTCCTCATATTTAAGTTGAAATTTGGTCGGATTTAGGTTAAAATTTGGTCGGAATGAGCTGAAATTTGGTCAAATTTGGGTTGAAATTTAGTTGAAATTCATTTGAAATTTGGTCGGAATGAGGTGAAATGTGGTCGAAATGAGCTGAAATTTGGTCGGTCAAGTGGAAACGGCCCGCTGATCCAAAATCACCGCCTATGGCCGTGTCGCAAGTCGTTTTTTGGCTTTTTGGAGTCGTTTAGATGGGTTTTTTGGCAAAAAACGATTCTGGTGAATAGTGTTTTTCGTGACATTTGCGTTTTTTTTTTCTTTTCGGAGTCGTTTAGATGGGTTTTGAAAACTATTTCCAAACCTTCTTTGGCATAGGTTGAAGCTTTGGCCATCGGGGTAAAACTATTTCCGTGACATTTGGGTTTTCTGGAATGGCTCCCTTCGGGGTAAAGCCTTATAATTACTTGTTCAAAACTTATTGATTTCTTTGTTGAAGTTGATATATTCATTTTAAAGGGATATGTGCACCATAAAACATGCAATCAAAACTTATTAAAATTTGTTGAACAGAACTTACTGATTTCCTTGCATCATAAAATTTGTTGTGAAAGTGTAACTTATTAAGTTCTAAGGCTTTCAAAACATGCAATTAAATTTTAAAACAAGTCGAATTACAGCAATTAACTGAAAATTTGATGACCCTGACCAGCTAGATGAGTTCTCCCTTTTTTACTGTTGTAGGACTAGAAATTTAGCTCGTAGACATTTCCGGACAGCTTCCTTTTTTTCAGGGGCCACGTTTCTCTCTTGCTCTCAATAACAAAATGGTAAGCTTCACGACATACGTCATTATGTGTCCTTAATACATGTTCATAATTTTTTACATTTTTGTCTAACCTTGCAACTTTTAGTATAAACGTGGAGGTCACATGCGTCGTGGTGATGCTTCACAAAGAAGACCAGGCCTTTCCACTTCCTCATCCTCGTCCCCGTCCCTTTCCATTTCCCCTGCCCCTGCCCTGCCCCTTCATCTAACCCTCAACTAGTACATGGACACATTGGCCCTTCCTCCGACCCTCAAATGCGAACTGAATTTACTTCAGTTCCATCGCCTTCGGTTCCACCTTCTTCTTCAACGCAACACTCGAATTATGAAGAAGATACCCGATTCATGATAGCCCCATTTGGAGATTCGTAAGTATTTCATTTTTTTAAGTATATGTGAATTCTTATGGATGTCAACTGAATTGTCCGTATGCTTCACGGATGCTACGTATGTTGAAATAAGTTATAACCCGTTTGCAGATTCACGGATGCTACGCATGTTGTGAGGAGACTTAATAAAATAATCAATAACTATTGGATGGGCAGTATAGTAGTTGGACCACCGCTCCAAAAGAAGTAAAGGAATTGTGGTGGAATGAGTTCAAGGTAAGTTTTGTCCTTCTATTTCCTCACAAACTAAGTTCGATTTAGCATATTGAGTGTACAATTATTTTTCTATTGATTGCATGCAGCGGAAGTTCAGGTGGGATGAAGCGGAAGAGAAAGAAGTTAAAAGAATTTTTAAGAAGAAAGCTGGTGATCACATGCGAAATGTGATGAATAAAGCAAAGAGAAAGCAAGAAAAGCCGGATTTTATTACAGCTGACAATTGGGCGGAAATTATGAGAACTTGGGACAATGAAAAGCATAAGCAAATCAGTGAAATTAATAAGAAGAATCGAGCTTCTAGTTCTAGTGAAGGGTCTGCCACATATGCTGGGGCTCTATCAACATCGAGGAGCGTAGAAAAAGAATGGTTAGTCTTTTAATCATGTTGTAAGTTAAATCAATAATTATGTCGTAATTATGTCTATATTTTGTAGGCAGATGAATTGGGGACGGAACCAACATTTATGGCTACATTTGAACGCACCTTTCAGAAAAAAGATAAGACATGGACTGGCAATCGAGCAAAAGCTATTACGGTATGTAAGGTTATATTTTGTATTTATATATATTAAGTTTTTTTTATTTTTATCTATATTGTTAATGTAGGACAAATATGATGAACTTGTAATGAGCACGGCTGCTGCTAGTGGTGATGGTGATGGTGATGGTGATGGTGATGGTGTTGCTGCGTCCGAGCCATCGGTTGACAGTATGGCATTATGGATGGAGGCATCGGGTGGAATGAGAATAGGTCAAATATTTGGGATGGGATCCTTGTCAAGGATGTACAGAACGCCGGCTGCTGGAACTTCATCCTCTAGTGCGGCTTTTTTAAGGGCACAACACGAGGAGCGACAGGACCAAGCATTGAACCGCCTGAGACAATTACTTGTACAGAAGGACGAAGAAATGATAGGAGTGAAACAACGTTTGCAATTGATCATGCGACACCTCAACCTCGAAGTTGATGACGTTCCTCCTGTACCTCCTACTAATCCAGTAGGTGATGGCCACAGTGATGATGATAATGAGATTCCTGATGATGATGCTGATGATGATGATGATCCTTGCTAGTTTAAATTTCCAAGAGGTACTTATATCTTTATGCTTCTGCTGTTGAATAGATGTGAAAAAATAAACAGGGGTTAGGAGTTTGATATTGTGATGTTTGCGCTGCAGATGGACAGGACTTCGATTCTTGGAGAACACTATAGACAACGTGAAAGAACTTCTTGGCAAGATCAACAGTTTGCCACAACAGTTTGTGAACTGGCTAATTTAGAACTTTGTTTCATTTCTTCCTTTTTGGGTTTCTTCTTGTCTTGACTGTGATTTTCTATCAATGTTAATTAGATTTCAAATCGAAATCGTCCCTAAACAACATTCGTCCCTAAATTATTCATTAAAATTCGTCGCCAAATTCGTTTTCGAATAATGTTTGTCGCAAAAGTCAAAATTTTTCGTGGCAAAATAATGACCAAAAATTTTTTTTTTGGCAAATTAGCCACGAATTTTGCAACGAATAAGTTCGTCGCAAAAAACCGACAAAAAAATATATATGGTCCCAAATTAGCCACGAATTTTGTTTGTGGCAAATTAGCCACGAATTTTAGGCACGAAGAATTTCGTCGCAGATAATTCAAAAATAAATTTTGCTCGCAAATTAGCCACGAATTTTGCCACTAAATGTGTTCGTGGCAAATTACCCACGAATTTTGCCACGAATAAGTTCGTCGCAAATAATTGAAAAAAAAAATTTGTGGCAAATTAGCCACAACTTTTGCCACGAATAAATTCTTCGAAAAAAAATGAAATTTTTTTTTGGCAAATTAGCCACGAATTTTGCCACGAAATGCGAGAAATTTTGCCACGGATAATTAGCAACGATTTTTGCCACGAAATATTTTGTCGCAATTTCGCGACCAACAAAAAAAATAATCAAAATAATAGCGACGACTTTTGCCACGAATAGATCTAGTGGCAAATTACCGACGAATTTTGCCAAGAATATTTAGCCGAAGTTTGCCACGAGTAATTAGCGACGAATTTTGGCACGAATAATGTTCGTGGCAAATTAGAGACGGAAGTTTACCACGAATAATGTTCATGGCAAATTAGCCACGAATTTTGCCACGAATAATTAGCGACGAATTTTGCGACGAATTTTTTTCGTCACAAATTAGCCACGAAAATTAAAATTTTCCGTGGCAAAATTTTGCGACTGCCTATTAGCGACAAATTTTTTTCCGTCGCTAAACCCGGCTTTTTTTGTAGTGTTGGGTTTGCTCTTTCTTCGATCAAGAGGAAGTCCTGGAAGTCTCTCTGGTGAAAATCGACGCCGGTGAATGTGCTTCACACGAGAATGAACTGCAACGATGTCAGAAGTAAAATTGTCCAGGAATTTTCTAGAATCCGAACATGAAATCGAAAATGTTTACATATAGGAAAATTGATGTGACATTGAAGGGACTTCCTCCCCTGATAACAATAGTAACTCTAGCCAAACGTATAATATACGTTTTTGGGGTCATTTTAAAGTGAGTGCTCTTGGCATACTTGTGTTAAATATAATTGATATGGCAATTAATTCAATCTCCAAAAGTAGTGATTATACATAACGCGAGAGTAATCATAGCATTAAAAAATTGGAAGTTTTTTCATACCACCTTCTTTCCCTCTCTCAACTTCCCAACATACGTTGGCAGCTCTAAACTGTATCACAGCAGTATCTCTAGCTATGATGGTGGGGGTGATGGGTTTGGTCTAGGGTCTGCTTTTTGTGGCACTTTTCTTTGTTTTGTACACTTTCTTGTGGGCAAAAGAACACTACAAGTGCCATAACTTGTGTACGGCGCTCACTTTAGTGCCATAACTTTTTTTTGGATCACTTTAGTGCTAAAATTTTTAAAAAACGATCACTTAAGTGCTAAAATTTTTGAAAAACGATCACTTAAGTGCCAACTCCGGTGCCGTACACAATTTTTCGCCGGAAATCTGACGTGGCATTTTTTTTATTAATTTCTGAAGCTGACGTGGCTCGCCGGAGTCTCGCCGGAGATTGGCACTTAAGTGATCGTTTTTCAAAAATTTTAACACTTAAATGATCGTTTTTCAAAAATTTTAGCACATAAGTGATTGTTTTTCAAAAATTTTAGCACTGAAATGATCCAAAAAAAAGTTATGACACTTAAGTGATCGTTTTTCCTCCGACTTGGCACCAAAGTGATCCGAAAAAAAGTTATGGCACCAAAGTGAGCGCCGTACACAAGTTATGGCACTTATAGTGTCCTTTTGCCCTTTCTTGTGATTGAACCCATAATGAATTGGACTGTTTGTGTTTCGAATTGAAGCGAGATTGTCTAGGTTTCTATACTTGCCATTATGAAGAAGGTAGCAAAGTATAACTTTCTTCTTTTTTTTTTTCAATGAGAGACCATAATTTGTAAAATCAAAGCGACAAGTATTGGCTATTGTTGGCACCTAAAATTTTGTTCAAAGATTTTCCTTGCTCTTTAAAAAATCAAAGAGACTTAAAGACTAATTGATAAGCTAATGGTTGGAAATTAAAGGGACAATGCCATAATTTGTTCATGTACTTTTCTTCAATGTTCAATTTGGTCCTTATGTTCTTTCAATGGGCCAATTTATTCCTTCAATTTGATTTGGTAAGATTGGCATCTGACATGGCAATCCAACTTCGTCATGGGACTCGTGTTTGTTGATGTGTTTTTACACGTGAGTGCCAAATCAACAAAAATTGTAAAAAAAAAGACAAACAAAAGAGGAAAATAAATTAGAAAGAAAGAACATACATGAACTAAAGGACAACACAAGCTGGAAAGAGAAAGGGGGTTCCGTTGAGTGATGCTGTGCAGCTGTGTTCTTTTCTTGATCACATATCTCCTTTGATGGCGTCGTTAAGTACTAAGTCACATGCTCTATATTCTAAGCTCTATATTCTAAGGGTATGTTTGTTTGAGTGAAATAAGTTTCCACAAATTGATTTCTAGACTTTTTCACGTGTCTGGTTTGTTGAAAATGATTAGTCAATGGAAACTATTTGCAGGAAAAAGAAAATATGTAGGCTTAAAGTTAGGAGAATAAATTCCCTAATAGGAAAAGGGGAAAACATTTTCTTTTATTATGAAATTTTCCTCGAAACAAATACACCCTAAGATGAATTTTTTAAGTAGTGAGCATGTGCTTATTAATTCTACGTTACCTTCAATTCATAAACAACTGACCAAAGGCGACAACCAGCGTTGTCACGCCCCGAACCCTACGAGCACGCAACATCCCACTATGGTCGTTATGATGCAATGTCCCAAGACTTGTCGCCAACCCTTTCATTTTTTATTGTTCTTTTTATTACACATGCGGAAGTGGTAACAACCAACACCCAGACAACCACCATAAATAGGGATAGGTAGGAAAATGATTCACAACAATCAAACAACAACACCATTTTAAAAATTACTTGATTAACCCCTAGGAAACATTTTCTTTACAAGCCCACTTCAGGCATTTTCACACGAGCCTACAAAACGATACCAGGCTGGGGGTCAATCTACTTCATCAATAGGTCAGTCCAAAAAGCCAGCTTCTAGGCACCCCGAACCATACTGAGGGCATCGACATGCGAAGGTCCTGAAAGATGTTAACAACACCAAATGAGACGAAAGTCTCAATAAGTTAACGGCCTAAGCCCCGTTTAGGAGGCCAACTCGCCTCGGGGTTCCTAGATAGGCAACCACACATAGAATACGGATCAACCACATACCGTTTAACAATCACAAGCATCCTTACCTCGCCTTGGCACATGTGTCATGCATGATCGTAGTCATCAAACATCACAATAATGCATCTAGCATAACACGTACTCGGAACACAAAGAAATTTCCCATGCATCATGCATCCACACTCGCGCATGTCTCGATTATAAAGTAAAAACCGCTTGGACACGTCCCATATCATGCCTAGTAGTTTTCACCCCATAATCAAGCACTATGCAACATGCGTGTTTCATTTATCACGACCCCTCTGGGCCACTACACATCAAGCGATACACAGCAAGATGGTAGTCTTCCGGCATGACCGGGCATCGTCCCGCCCAGTCGGGCACGGCAACGTCAAACGATGTACAAGATGACGTCATTCCAATATGGCAACATCAAATAATCTACAGTAAGATGGTATCCCATAACAAGCATCAAATTCGCCATCAGGCCGCGATTCAGCATCCGAAGTATCGGCAATCCAGATAATCTCCAGGCATCAGATAAAATCGAGCGCGATCTACAACAAACCTCGATAAATCGAGCATCGTCAAGCGATTTACAGCAAGACGGCTTCGACATGTGACCACACGAACACACAAGCATTCAGGCCAATTCTTATCTTTTCAATTAGCCAATGCAAACATGGATCGTGCTCGAATCAATGCCACATACAATTTCACGTGATCACATATGCAAACAGTCGCTTGACTTTGTAAAAACATCATTTCAAAACATGCTTTCCTTCTCAAGGCATCAAAATCATTTATTCAACATAACTATAAAATAATTTATTTTCAAAGATACAAAATCTTTTCTTGAAAATAATCAAGCAATTTATTTAGCTATATAAGTTAAATTTATATGGCGATTTCTAACATTGGCATTACAATCCAAGTATAAAACAATCACAATTTGGTACTAAAAATTATTCGAAAATACTAATATTTAATTTTCCGAATTTAAATATTTTATTAATAAATATATATTTTTAAGAATAAAATATTATTATTTAATTTCGAAAATTAATTTATTTAATAAAATAAATAATAATAAAATAATAGATAACTTATCGTCAAAATAGCGATAACTTATCGCGAACACAACAATAACCTTTCACGATATCACCGATAACCTATCGTCAATTTCACCGATAACCTATCACCGATTTCCAATGATAACTTATGAGTCCAACGATAACCTATCATCCATGATTATCAAATAATTCGTCGATAACTTATCCACTAATTCTATTTAAACAACCATTAACTTAATCTAAAACTAAATTAAACTACCGTAAGCAAGTTTAACACCCTAAACACGGGATTAGGGGTTAACTTACTCGTCTAACTACGGCGATTATGCGAGAACAACGGCGACGACGCGACTGTCGACGGTGGTTTCCTATTTGGGCTCAACGGACGGCGGCAAATGAGGGCGGCTAAGGCAGCGGCTGCTGTGGGGCTATTCGGAGGCTGCTCAGGGCTGTTCCTAGTGTGAAATGGCGGCTTGTGGTGTTAGCTAGGTGGCCGGACAGTGGTGGACCAGCAGCTGCAGCAGCGGACGTGTTCGGTGAGCGACGAAGCTAGCATTCCAGCAGAAACTAGCCGGCTATGGGCGGCTGTTCGGCGCGGCTTGAGGGCTAAACTAGGGACGAAATGGTGATTGGTTGGTTGTTATATCCTAAAAATTCGACCCAATTTGGTGATTTATCATATGGTGATTTCGTCGACGCTCTATTAGTTATTTCTCGCCCTGACCTAATCACTCAGGGAATACTAATCAAATGGAAAAGGCTATCGAATAATTTATTTCTAACAACCACCCCGTTAGTTCGAGATGAACTATAGTTGGGATTGATGGATTTCGGCCATGAATTATGATCTGATATTGAGTGTCGAATGCTCAAGAATTTCACACTCGAACCTTAGGATGTCGTCTCATAATTTTACGAGTTTTCCGTATAAAATTTCAATTTCGGAAAAGGATTGAAGATTCGGAAATTCGACACGAGAAACGGAAGTGAACCGAGCAAAGCCTGTTGGGCCTCGCGCCCGAGGGGCCCAGCCATCAAGACCTCATAAGAATGAGTTGGCCTGTAATTCGATACTCGGGTCGAGGACAAAATGGATTTTGGGGGACAAAATTTAAGAAAATTTCAAAAAGGAAATTTGGAAGATCTTTATTTTTTGGGTAATGATGAACCCAACCCTCCCCTTTCTCTCTCTCCCTCTCTCTCCCCTCCCTCCTCCGGCTGACTCCCGCCGCTGACTCCCCCATTTTCTGCTGCACCCTCCACCGACTCCACCAACTCCTTTCTCTCTCTCTTCTCTTCTTCTTTTTCTTCCTTTTCTTCTTCTTTTCCTATTCTTCTTGACTTTTCCTTCGCTGCTGCTACTTTTGCTTCACCGCTGCTCCTTCTGCTTCTGCTTTACCGCTGCTACTTCTGCTTCTGCATCACCGTTGTTGCTGCTGCTTCATGCTTCTACTTTTGCTTCCTCGTTCTGTTTCTTCTTGCTGCCACCGCCGACTGGACCAGCGTTCTGGACCAACCACCACCGTGCACCGTCCTTCCTCGCCGCTTCTACTCCTACTTCGCTGCTGCTGCTTCTTCTTCGCTTTTGCTTCTTGTTATGCTTCTTATTTTCAGCCAGCGACCAGCCTTTTTCCTCGCAGAACCAGCCATCACCGAGGACCGCTCCACCCCACCGTCACCCCACCGCCACCCCTACTCTTCCCCTGGCCACGCAGCACCGCCTCTGCTGCCCCGGAACAGCCCGTCGCTAGCTATTCCAGCCAAGGCGAGTTGCGCCTCTCGCCGGTTCAGCTGCCATCCGCCTCCGCCACTTGCCGCCGCCGTTTTAGCCAGCAAGACGCCATCACCAGCCAGCATCCCATCCCTGACTCAACCCCAAATAGCCACCGAACAGCCCCTGGCAGCCGCTCTCTTTGTCACGCTCGTTTGCCGCCGGTCGCCTCCCGCCGAGCTTGAACCGGAAACCACCGCAAATAACCGCGCCGCCGCCGCCGTCCTCGTGTAATCGCGGTAAAAGTAGTTAGATGAGTAAGTTAACCCCTAATCCCGTGTTTAGGGTGTTAAACTTGCTTAGGTTAGTTTATATTAATTTATTGACTAGTTAAGTGGGATTAGGTGATAGGTTACATTAGATTATTAGATAATTGTTGATGATAAGTTATCGGCAGATAATAAGTTATTATTGGATGTGGTGATAGGTTATCGGTGTTTAAATGATAAGTTACTGGTAAATTTTAGCGATAGGTTATCGGTATGTTCAATAAGCTATGATTATTTGTGTGATAGGCTATTGTTGTGTTCGCGATAAGTTATCGCTATTTTGACGATAAGTTATCTATTAATTTATTATTGATATTTATTTTATTAAATAAATTAATTTTCGAAATTAAATAATAATATTTTATTCTTACAAAAATTATTTATTAATAAAATATTCAAATTCCGAAAATCAAATATTCTTATTTTCAAATAATTTTTAGTACCGAATTGTGATTGTTTTATGCTTGGATTGTAATACCAATGTTGGATTTCGCCGTATAAGTTGGCGTATATGGACAAATGATTTGAATGATTATGATTCGAGAAAATATTTTGAATCTTTAAAAATAAATTATTTTATTATTATGTTCGAGAAAGGAATTTGAGGCTTGAGAATGAAAAGCGTGTTTCGAAATGATGATTTACAAAATTGAGTGACTGTTGGCACATGTGGTCACGAGAAATTGGTTATGTGGCATTAATTCGAGCACAATTCATGTTTGCATTGGCTAATTGAAAATATATGAATTGGCTTGAATGCTTGTGTGTTCGTGTGGTCCCATGTCGAAGCCGTCTTGCCGTAGATCGCATGACGATGCTCAATTTATTGAGGTCTGTTGTAGATCGCGCTCGATTTTATCTAATGCTTGGAGATTATCTGGATAGCCGATACTCCGAATGCCGAATCGTGGCCCCCGATGGCGGATTCAATGCTCCTTACGGGATACCACTTGCTATAGATCATTTGATGTTGCCGTATTGGAATGTCGTCATTCTATAGATCGTTTGACGTTGCTGTGCCCGACGAGGCGGGACGATACCCGGTCATGCCGGAAAACTACCATCTCGCTGCGTATCGCTTGATGTGTAGTTGTGACATTCCGAATTTCGGCCCATTTTTGGGATTTATAAAACGTGTATTTCGTCAGTGCGCTTATAATAAAATCTCGCCCGGAACTAATCACTCTTGGGTTATTTTTAAATTAGAGATTTCGCTAGAATCGCACTCGATCGAATTTGGCCGTTATTTAGAGCCCGAACTTTGGTGTCGAATTTATTGAAGTTTCGTGATAAATTTAATTGAACGGTATCGATATTATTGTGGCCAGCGTCAATATTGCTCGAGATAAGTGAAAAGTGAAATTTGGACTGGGTGCAAATTTGGATTAGTACATCTCCCTCGTAGTGTGTTTTAATTAATATCTTCTAGCCTTTTTCCTAATTTATAATTAGGTTTTTTCGTGGACCATTAGATCGATTTTTGGTTTGAACGTGGGCCATTGGATCGCGCAATCATTGCGTTGACTTTTGACTCTCTCTCTCTCTCCCCCCTTCTGCCGCGTCCCCTCCCCATTGCGCCCGTCCACTCCTCCCTTTCCCCATGCACGTCCCCTCCCACCCCTCTCTCGTCCTTTTTCTTCTTCTTCCTCTCTTCTTCTTCTTCTCTGGTTTTCTCTTCCGCCCCGACTGTTTTTGCTTCTGCTTCTGCTCGCTCGACCAGTCATTGCCGATCGCCCTTCGCTGTCCGCCTCGCGCCACCGTTGCCCCGACTGAGCCGCGCCGCCATTCGTCGCCCGCAACCGCCTGTCGTCGGCCTGCCCATACTTCACGCGAGCAACAACTCGCCATTGCGTCCGCCGCAGTCCAGCGCTGCCCAGTCGCTCGCCGGCCTGTCCTCCGTCGCCCGGCCACCCGTAACGCCGCCATGTCTCCTCAGGCCGCTGCGCGACCTCCCTTTCCCCCTGTTTCTCTCTTCCCCAGCCTCTCCCCTGTTTTGAGCTCTCCCCGGCTCCGCCTTGTCCAGCCACCGCGCGCCGCCGTTCCGGCCTCCGCCGCTGCTCCATCCGCCACCACCTAGCTCCCAGCAACCCTGTCCAGCCACTTGCAGCCGCCGTGCTCACCTGGATAGCCCAACGCCACCCCAGCTCAGCCTTGGCCAGACTGTCCCGGCCGTGGCTGAGCCTTCATCGTCCAATCACCGTCGCCGTCGGCCGCTCGTTCAACTCACCCTAGGCCATGGCCGAGCTTGCCTGGCCGTTGCTCAGGCCGTGCCCGAGCTCGCCTAGCCCGTTGCTCAACCATCCCAGCCGCTGCCCATCTCCACCGTGCCCGTGCCCGCGCCTAGCTGCTCGCCCGGTTGTGGTCGAGAGCCTCGGGCCGTGGCCGAGGGTGTGCCGAGCCGTGGCCGAGCCCCTTGCCCGTCGCGCCCTGGCCCATGCCGAGCCGTTATTGTTCACCCGGGCCATTTTGGGCCCGTGCCGATTTTTCCCAGGCCAAATTTAGGTAAGCGACTCCCTAAACCTTACCTAGTATTATGGGTATTATTAGACTTGTTTAGGGATTAATTAGTATCGGGTTAGTGGCTAAGCTTGGATTAGGATCAATATGTGAATGTGGTTAATTGATAGATTAAGTTGTGATGATTATGTGGCATGATTAGTGGCTGGTTTATGTGGGTACAATGACCGGATTGTCGTGGTGTTTGTGGGTGAAATTGATGTTTGATTGGGCCGACTTGAGTGTCGGATTGGTGGACTAGTGTGATGAGTTTGTGATTTGAATTGGATTCGTGTGACGTGTGAGATGGCGAATTGTGATGTGGTGTATGTGCATGTGAAATGTTCAGTGAGGGGCGGAGCCCGGATTGATCGGAGGGCTGACCTGAGGCGTGTTTTCGCGGGTCGTGAGAAAGTGTGAAATGTCCAGTGAGGGACGGAGCCCGGATTGATCGAAGGGCTAACCTGAGGCGTGTTTACGCGAGTCGTGAGAAAGTGTGAAATGTCCGGTGAGGGACGGAACCTGGATTGATCGGAGGGCTGACCTGAGGCGTGTTTACGCGGGTCATGTGAAAGTGTGAAATGTCCAGTGAGGGACGGAGCCCGGATTGATCGGAGGGCTGACCTGAGGTGTGTTTACGCGGGTCATGAGAAAGTGTGAAAGGTCTAGTGAGGGACGGAGCCTGGATTGATCGGAGGGCTGATGTGTGGGGTGTTGACCCGGGTCGTGGAAAGTTGCTCGGCCACGAATGCGAATTGAGTGTGATTAAATTGATTGAATATATGTGGTTATGGCGTTTGAGTGGTGATGTTATGTTCTTGAATTATTATTGCTTTATGGTGAATTATCTATTGTGCAGAGCTGGCGTGTGAATCGGTGCGAGGTAAATGTGAATTGGCAAGTTTGCTATATCGGTGGTTAGATTGCATGTTAGACTCGTCTGGGTACGCATTGGCCTAGGTGGGGTATAGGTTGTCTGCTTATTGAGATTTATCTCATCCCCTGTTGTTAAACATTTTCAGGTTTGGAGTGACGGATAGTCATCACGTGCGGTTCAGAGACCGGGAGTGACCTTGGGCATTTGATGCTTTGTTTCATCTTTGGATGCCCTCCTCTTTTGTTTAGTGAAGTAGAATACCTAACCATCGCCCCCTTTTGATAAATGTGGCTTGAAGTTAGTAGCCTAGATTGAATGTTGTAAGTGACTGTCAGTTTTATGAAGTGCGTTTGTTGATTTGTGCCTATGCTATCCCGTTGTCATTGTTTATTATCTGGGTCGTTTTTATTTCGCTTCCGCTTGCCTTTATCGTTGGGTGTTTCGTTTGGGTCGGCGACGCATCCTGGGTTGTCGCGTTCAATACGGCCATCGAAGGGGTGTCGCGAGCCGGTCAGGGTTCGGGGTGTGACAGTAGTGGCCCAGAGGGATCGTGATAAATGGAACACGCATGTTGCATAGTGTTTGATTATGGGTTGAATACTGCTAGGCATGGTATGGGTCGTGCCCAAGTGGTTTTATATTATAATCGAGACACACACGAGTGTGGATGCATGATGCATGGGAAATCTCTTTATGTGTTCCGAGTACGTGTTATGCTGTGTGCATGGTTGTGATGTTTGTTGACTAATGTTATGCATGCCATGTATGCCAAGGCGAGGTAAAGATGCTTGCGATTGTTATTCGGCATGTGATTGATCAGTATATGATGTGTGGTTGCCTGACTAGGAACCTCGAGGCGAGTTGGCCTCCTAAGCGGGGTTTAGGCCGTTAACTTACTGAGATTTTATCTCATTTGTCATTGTTAAACATATTCAGGCCCTTAGCATGTCGATGCACCCGGTTCGGTTCGGGGTACCTCAGGACATGGAGACTGTTGTTTCTACGCACGTGTTCCCTGACCAACCATATGTTTTTTAGCGCCATCGGACGATAGTTTGGGTGGATGAGGGCCTGAATCATCGGGCTCCCCACCAGTTCCAGGCCTGGTTTGTTAGGGATGGTGAGGATCTGTTTGGACCTATCAAGGAGTTTGACGGTCCTCCGGAAGAGGGTCCTGGGTACGAGATATGGGATCCTATGAAGATCGACCCACCTAATGGGTTAGTAGAAGATCCTGAGCCTGAGCCCGACCCTGTTCCCGAGGATCTGTCGGATTTTAAGCCATCGGAGCACGACCCTGATTCATCCTACTTTGACTCACCAACCCTCTATATGGATAGCTCATGAGAGACCTGACTGAAAGCTGACTTTTTGACTGACCCACTGATGGTGAAGTAGATTGACCCCAGCCTGGTATCTTTTTATAGGCTTTTTGTGGAAGTGCCCGAAGTGGGCTTGTAAAGAAAAGTTTCCCAGGGGTTAATCAAGTGAATATTAAAATGGTGCTGTTGTTTGTTTGTTGTGAATCGCTTTCCTACCTATCCCTATTTATTATTGTTGTCTAGGTGTTGATTGTTGTCTAGGTGTTTGTTGTTATTGCTTCCGCATGCGTAATAAAAAGAAAGATAAAAATGAAAGGGTCGGCGACGAGTCCTGGGACGTCGCATCATAACGACCATAGCGGGATGTTGCGTGTCCATAGGGTTCGGGGCCTGACATCCTCATTGAATTGGTATCAGAGCAAGGTCAGCTCGATCCAAATTTGGTCAAGACCTGGAGTGATAAGGTGCGATGGGTTTTGGGATAGTGAGTTAGGAAAACACTTTGTGCCTGTGTTTGATTGTTAGATTTCTCGTTCTTAAGCAGGTTGTTCACGATTTCTAATTCCTTGTTGGAATTAGAAAGCAGGTTTCTCCAAAGATCCCAGTAAGATGAGAAATCCCGACCCGAGGGCCCAGGAGGAGAGTCGAACCAGGTCGGAGGCCCGGTGCCGGAAGGAGAGCACCAAAGGATCCTAGATTAGACCGGATCCTTGAGGCCTTAGAGACCCTGGTAGGACAGCAAGCTCATAATCAAGCTGCTGCCGCCGGCACCGTCGCTGCCGTTATGCCTGCACCTGCACCTGTACCTATACCTGTAGATATTTCTTTAGCTGGGAATGGAAATGGGAATCAACCCATGCATAAGTTGGTGGGGCAATTTCGAAGTTCAAACCGCCCAAGTTCATCAGTGCGGGTGATCCCGAGGCTACAACCCTCTAGATCGGGGGAGTTAGAGAAAGTGTTCGCTTTGCTGAGATGTTTGGACGAAGACAAGGTGACGCTGGCTATCTACCAGTTGCAAGAAAACGCCAGTACTTGGTGGGAAGCTACCCAAAGGAGGATGTTCCCCGGTGGTACGGCCCAGGTGTGGGGTACCTTTGTGGAAGCTTTTTACAACAAGTATTTCTCATACTGCACCAGGGAACAAAAGATGAACGAGTTTCAACGTCTCTAGTAGAATCAATTGTCCGTAGACCAGTACGAGGCTAAGTTTGTGGAATTGTCCAAATATGCGCCGAGGTTGGTTAAAGATCGAGTTGATAAGGCAAGGAGGTTTAGGGATGGGCTGAAGCCTGAGATTAAGGATCAAGTGGTGCCTCTGAATCTGAAGGATTATGATGAGTTGTATGAGAGGGCACAGTTGATTGAGAGGAACTTGGTGGACACGACAGCCGCGTCTTGATCGCGGTTTGTTCCAAGTAAGGATAATCATCGGTTTGGGAAGAAACCAATGACAAGAAGTAAGTTCCCTGTCCCTCCTAACAGGAAAGGTGGCGTGAAGAAGCCGACACCCAATCAAAATAGTACATGCCACTTTTGCCGTATGAACCATAGATCAACCCCGTGTCCTGTGAGAACGGGAGCTTACTTTGGATGTGGTCAGCACGGTCACCACATGAAGGACTGTCCATGCCAAGCCGCGGGAGCGCAAGGATCAGCGCAGCAGGTAGGACAACCTGCGAGGAACACCCCACCGAACCAATTGAACCGACCCCAAGTACAAGGAAGGGTCTATGCTGTCAGAAGGAAGGAGGTGGAGGACTCGCCCGCCATAATTATAGGTACGGTCTCATTACACGACCATGCTGCTTATACTTTGTTTGATTCTGGAGCTACGTATTCGTTTGTGGCTAAGTAATTTGTGGAGCCAGTGGGGTTAAGTCCGAAACCGCTAAGAGTGGTCTATAGTATTTCTACCCCTTTAAAGGATAGCGTAGTGTCTGCAGTAGGATGTGCTGATTGTAAATTATCTATTGGTGGTCGTGAGGACAGCATAGATTTCATTATCTTGACGATATTTGACTTCAATGTGCTTATTGGAATGGATTGGCTCACCAAGCAACCAGCCACAGTAAATTGTTATCGTAAGACGATTCAATTTGAGCCTTTAGGGAGTGTTGGGTTTGAGTTTGTCGGAAATCGAGGAGGACCATCAATTCCTTTGATCGCATCACTTGAAGTTACTCGATTGTTGGATGAAGGTTGCCAATGTTATTTGGCAACTGTAGTTGACACTCTGGTAGAGGAATCGAAGGTGCAAGACATAGCTATAGTATGAGAGTTCTCGGATGTTTTTCCTGAGGAATTACCTGGGTTGCCCCCAGAAAGAGAAGTAGAATTCGTGATTGAGTTAGTCCCTGGTATGGAGCCGATTTCTAAGGCACCTTACAGAATGGCGTTATCGGAATTGAAGGAGTTAAAGGTTTAGATGCAGGAGTTGTTGGACAAAGGATTTATTCGTCCTAGTGCATCAACTTAGGGAGTGCCGGTTCTATTTGTAAGGAAGAAGGACGGGTCGTTGCGCCTTTGCATCGACTATCGGCAACTCAATCAGGCGACGGTTAAGAATAAGTATCCGTTACCAAGGATAGATGATTTGTTTGACCAACTTCAAGGAACTTCGGTATTCTCGAAGATAGACCTAAGGACAGGTTATCACCAATTGAGGATTAGAAAGAAAGATATATCGAAGACGGTATTTCGAACGCGCTATGGACACTATGAATTTACCGTGATGCCGTTTGGTCTGACAAATGCGCTTGCAGCTTTT